TTTAACATTAATAATGCACAATATATTGGCAACCATATTGCTATTGGCCAATAAAAAGTCAAAAATAATATCAGTCGTCCACTGTATTTGTTTGCTTTTTTAAGTCAGGCTCATACAATTCTATATCAAGGTTTATATTTATCAGCCAATTTATCGATTATTGGCTGCCAAATACAAAGAGTTATCAGTATTTGCTTGAATTTTCAGTTTCAGTTTTCTATTGTTGGGAAAAAGGAATTACAAAAGATTTTTTTACTTTTTTTTCTTTTTCTTTTCATTGAACATTTTGTATTGCTTAAAGGTGATTTATTAACTGAATTTTTGTTGAGTGTGATGTACTAATGAAGCATTTTAGCAGAAGTAGATTGAGCTGATAGAGATGCAAAGGCCTGATTGTCTAAAATAAACTTGAGCACTGCAGTTAAACTTCCTGTCAGCAGAAATATGTTAAAACTGAACAGAGAATATGTGCAGTTGGGAAAGCCTAACCGGGTGGAGAAAGTCTTATGCTTTTAATGTTGTGCAGAGAATTCGTAGAAAAGGAGGATGTATGTATGGGTGCGGCCAATGAAGACCGGAGAATGATTGACAAGTGATGAAATTCACTAAATTTAACCTGTTAATGTTAGCTGCCTATATAATTTGAAGTCAGGAAATGAACTGTTGCACACCTCCTGAATGCAACTTTTGCATTGCATTGAGGATAATAGAATTCTGGGACTCTATTCTGGGATAAATTACTAATATGTTTAATATTGAATAAAAATCTCTCTTGACCTTTTATATTGAACACGCATGGAATTTATTACATATTCCAACACTATACCCTTAACATTTTCCGGGTCTAGTAGAAAACAACATTAAATTCAAAAGCTGAAATCCAGTTAATATCCACAGAGCTGGACTGGTTGAGGCAGAAAATTAGTCAGACTAAACGCTGAAAATCTAACTGTAAAACAACATTTTTTAAACATAAAAATGAGTGATGCACAATATATCGGTGACCATATCAGTATGGGCAGTAAATGCTTTATAAACATATAGACGTGTATCAGCTTCCAAATACAAAGGGTTATCAGCACAAATTTCCTGTTTTAGTTTAATATTCGCTCTCTGATTTCTGGCTCTAGTAAAAGCGCAACATCAAACGCTGAAATCCAGTAAATATCCACAGAACTGGTTGAGGCACAAATCAGATGGCGTAATGAAAACAACAGGCACGTCAAAGAGCCGTCTGCTGGTCAGTCCAACACCAACATTCGACAGTGATGCTCTTTCATCATCACTGGGCCTCCTGCCAGTGTAAGCGGCTCCTGCTCTGCATTCTTGCCATTGTTGTTATTTTTCTTCCTCATTTTTCACCCTTCCCCCTCAAACGCGCCGTCATTGGCCTGGTTGTGATCTTTGTGCTAAATTATTTGCCTTGGCTTCAACCATAAATGGCTAAGTCTGTAAATCAGCCTCAAGCTATAGGCATAAATTGTTCGGGACAAATAATCACAGGATTAGGCCGAGGTTAAAGGCTTTTTGGATCCTGGTGTTGTTTGAGCACTGCATGATATGGGGAAGTTTGGAGTTATATACACTACCTGACGAAAGAACAGCAAATAATAACTTGACTTCAATTGATCATTTGGTATTAGAAGTGGATTATATTAAAGGCAAAGACTTCTAGATACGCTTATTTTACCAATATAAAATAAGATCATGTCTTGATTTAAATTATTTAATTATGATTGTAAGGTCAGACTTTATTCAGACAAAAGTCTTGTCACTTATCAGAAATAATGTGCATTGTAGAAAATAAAGTCATGCTGCAGTGTAAAAAGAATTAATATTGTGTATAACTCCCATGAACTTGGACGACTGCATCCATACATCTCTGCAATGACTCAAATAACTTATTAATAAAGTCCTCTGGAATAGCAAGAATGCATTCTTGTAGGACTCACAGTTCATCAAGATTCTTTGGATTCATCTTCAATGCCTCCTCCTTTATCTTACCTCATACATGCTCCAGAACATTCACATCTGATGCCCGGGCAGGCCAATCCTTGAGCACCTTGACCTTCTTTGCTTTCAGGAAATTAAATGTGAAGGCTGAGGTATGAGAAGAAGCGCTATCCTGCTGAAAAATTTGCCCTCATCTGTGGTTTGTAATGTAATGGGCAGCACAATTGTCTTGATGCCTCAGGCTGTTGATGCTTCTATCCACTCTGCAGATCTGTCGCACACCCCCATACTGAATGTAACACCAAACCATGACTTTTCCTTCACCAAGCTTGACTGATTTCTGTGAGAATCTTGGGTCCATGTGGGTTCCAATAGGTCTTCTGCAGTATTTGTGATGATTGGGAGGCCGTTCAACAGATGATTCATCTGAAAATGTAACTTCTGCCACTTTTCCAAATTATCAACTAGAAGTCAAGTTATTGTTTGTTGCTCTTACAACTGGGATCAACGACAAGACTTTTGTCAGTTAGTGTACTTTGTAATTGTGATATTAAATAAATATTGTAATGTCAAATTTGCTAAAATTGTGATTTTAAATATTTTTAACCATACTGATATAGTAATGATTTAGTTATGACTAAATCAAATATATGAACGACTATGAATAAAAAGTGTACCGGTGGTACTTCAATTAACCCCTTTAATGCACAAGCTATAAAATAGATATAGAAAAAATAAACTTAGACTGGTCACTTTAGACCCATGTAGTGCATCAAAGGGTTAAGTAAATATTTATAAAACGTGTAAAGATATTATTAATTCATTTAAAAATGCAAATCTTTCATCGTTTACTTTATTAAATGTCACTTTAAACTTATTTTTGCTTCGTTTTGTGTGCATGCTTTTATGTACATTTACGTATAATACTTGACACGACAAAACCTTTTTTAAACTCGTTTTTAAAACGTGGATCCTGAGTATAAAGAACTGCATTCAGATGTTTTGTTTGTTGTTGACTTAGCATCCAAGGCACAAGCTATAAAGGCATCATGCTGTGTTCACACCAGATGCGGCATGTGCGAATAAATCGCGCTATTAGACGGGTGAATGAAGCGAGTAAACTCAAAATGTTCACGCATTTATTATCACGATTTATTTGCATGTGCCGCGTCTGGTGTGAACACAGCATGACACCTTTATAGCTTGTTCCTTGGATACTAAGCCAAATGTGCTACATTTGCACATGAAATTTACCTCACAACAGATACGGTTTCTCGTCATGGGCGGGGCTTCTGTTTGCTATATAGCTAACATGGATTTTATTGAGAGAATAGATGTGTTTATGTGCTTTAGGAATGCTGAAAAACAGCAATTTTAGTTCAGCGCCATGTCTGAGTAAACTAGATCCTTTCAGAGGTGCACCTAGCTCTGTGAGCTCATCATCACCTCCAGAAACTATACATCTATGTTGGAGGCTTTCAGCTGTGCTTCCGATCGCACCATTTGCGTGAATTGCTCTGCAGGATGTCTGTTTGCATCTTTGCATTGACTTAACATGTAAATCACTCATGCTTGAGGCTTTATCCGTGTCTGGTGTGAACGCAGCATCACACCTGTCTGGAAAAGGGGTGTCGAACAACAGCAAATTACCAATTAAAGAGACACATACGAGCAAGTTGTGTTTTTGCTTGCACTCAAAAAAAGCCAGTATCTGACTGCAGACTTGCATATGCAAGCTGAGACATGCAGTGTCAGGTACAATGTACTCAATGGAGCTGGTGACTTCACTGAAAGGGGTAGGGTTAGAGGCGGGGTTAGGTGTGCACATTAAAAGCACTGCATGCAGCTCAAAAGAGGCATTTAAAGTTTGGTATAATAAATAATCAGTGAGGTATTTTGAGCTAGAACTTCACAGACACATTCTAGGACACCAGAGACTTGTAAAACCTTTTTCTCAGCATGTCTCCTCTAAATGCAGCTGAAAGTGACTTTTTTATTGGCTGTTTTTATTGCAAACCCAACCTTAGCCCCACCCCTGGACTCAAATAAACTTGATCTGTGTCATTTCATAAAAAAACACTGACTCCTCCCCCAAATAATGCATCTGGAGAGCTAAAAAGTAGCTTTAAATTAGGTTTTCCTCATCTGATCCCTCTCCGCCGGGAATTATTTCTCTCTAGAGAGCACACACACTCAGCATGGGGTTGGAAAATCAAATCAGACAGGCTGCTATCATCCATAATCGCGCAAAAAATTAGCATCCCTGAAAGTGATACAGTTTGGGGGATATTCTTTTTTCTCAATGCTTATGTAAGGTAATTTAGCTTAAACTCTAGCTCAGTCTCGTACTGTCAGATAATCACTCTTCATTGAGCTCCTAGCGCTCCCTGTGCATTCGAGATAAATGTTTCTAGTGTTCATTGCTGGATGCTTTCATACATCTCCGAGAGTCTTGTTTGTGTGCAGTCATCCTCCTCCAGTGTTTTTACCACGGTTCACTGTTTGGCTTCAGATCGCAGTAATTGTAGGCGGCTCTGTTATTAATTAGCGCAGGTAGCTAACTATGTTCTCTAAACATCAAGAGAGAGCGGCTGTTTTTCTGTAGCACATTTGGACCGATTAATTTGTACACTTCCTATTATTAACAGCCGGCGTACAGACAGTTTATGTATTTTTATCAGAGCGCAGGAAGTGAGAATGAGTCAGCTCAGAAGGGTGCTGTTCATTCACTAATGGACATGTTCAAACGCACATATACGGACACACAAACACATTGGCTCTAATTATCCATGTAATGTCAGGGGAGACATTAGAGTTCACTGAGCCCTGATGGGTGGTACACCGGTAGCAGGAGAGTTCAGACACACTTGTTATGATTTGGAAGAGGACTACGATTCTTAATTAGCTGAAATTTCATGTTCGTGGTGCCTAATCACTTGAGCCCTGGCCTCATAACTAAAACTCCTTCTTATCACTTGAACTTGTCTCCTGCTGTGAAATGTTTCCAGGTCTCACCTCATTGGCTCTCGTGTCGTTTTTGTGGACAGGTTTGACCAGGGGCCTTGGTGTTGTCACTGCGACCACAGAGACGTATCATCATGGGAAAACAGAACAGCAAACTCAGGCCTGAGATGCTACAGGACCTGAGGGAGAACACAGAGTTTACTGACCATGAGCTGCAGGAGTGGTACAAGGTAAGAACATATTAAGAAACGTGATCTTAAGTGGGAACAAGATTGAGTTTTGAATTATTTACAAATCAATAAAACACACAAAAAATGTTTGTTTTTTTCCTGATTGTTCAAACTACTTATTTAAAATGAGCTGAATCAACACAATTCTTAAGGCTTTTTTTTGACACCTTAATTGTTTTATGTTCAATCCGCTTAAACTTGAAAAACAATTAGGTTAACTTAACCGATTTGTATCTAGACAATATGAGAGAAATGTGTGTCAAATTTCTTTCATTTGCACATGAAGTTCACTTCACAACAGATGCGGATTACTGTCATGGGCTGGGCTTCTGTCTAACCACTGACTCTAGCTTTGTTGCTAAATGGCTAACATGGATTTTATTGAGAGAATATATGTGTTTATGTGCTTTAGGAAGGCTGAAAAACAGCGTTTATTTGTTCGGCGCCATTGTGTCTGAGTACACTAGATCCTTTCAGAGGTGCACCTGACCCTTCTAGAAACTATACCTGTATGATAGCCGCCTTCAGCTATGCTTCCGACACCGTCATTTGCTCAAATCATGCTGCGAGTTGTCTGTTTGCATCTATGTGTTTACTAATTTAAAATTAGCTGAATCAACACAATTCTTGAGTTTTTTTGGGGGGGAAAACTTAATTCTTTTATGTTCAGTTGTAAAAAAAAAAACAATTAAGTTAACCTAATCGATTTGTGTTAGGACAATATGAAGGAAATGTGTGAAACCCTGCATCTTTTACAATGCATCTGTATGATACACTGTTTTGTTTCGTTCTGAATGTTTATTAAAGATTTAAGACACCCCGAAGTAATGTTGAGTTAAGCATCAGTAAAAACAATTTTAGCAGCTGACTGCTTTAATTGTGGGTAAAACCGAATAATTCTGAGCTTTTGTCAGCTAATTTCATCTTCCATATTTAAAATTATTTTGGGGGAGGGATCAAAATCGGCCAGTGGATAGATGGCGCGTTGATTTCTCATTATTATTCATAGCTGAGTTTTCTTATCCTATGATGAGAAGACCCTGCTTCTTAATTATTTATGTGAGCACGTGCTTTTTGAAGGCAAGACAGACCTGCCGAGCTGTGAGACCCAATGACTGGGTGAGACCGCGTCCGTGCATGAATGTTGAACAAGCTAATGTTTAAATATATTTATAATATATTCATGTTTTATTGTCATGCTTTAAAAAAAAAAAGCTGAAATAAAAGCCGCTAAATTTTGCTATCTATAATCCATAATAATAACTCCTGTGCAGCAGTCTCAAAACATTCTGACACTCGATGACACTGGAATACCCTGTCAGTAGAGTCTAGTGGCTGGGAATGACCTTTTTTACAGTGTCTGCTATACTGTTAATGTTGTTTTTGTGTGTTTACATAAATGAATATGGCCACGGTGTAAATACAGTACGGTTGTGATCTTATTACCACATTATATATCGTTTTGATAACATAAAATACGCCTTCAGTGATTTCCTGAAGATAAATACCAAAAAATAACACAACTGGAATAACTACAGGAGTCGCGATCGTCTGATCTAATATGAAGTAAGTGATCGCGATGACATATGATGACGTGTGCAGGTGTTGTTGTGCTGTCCCATTTTTAAGGGTAAATTTGAAGCCCCTCCCCTTCACATTCGGTTTCAAGGGAAAGGGAAGGGGTACAAAAATATAATTGGATTGGGTTTAATTGGTTACTAATCAGTAACATTCATAGATTAAGTGCCGTGAAAATTATTTTCTTACCCAGTGTTTTCATCTTGTTTTTCTGCTCAAATACCCAAACATTCTTTAATTAAGATGCTTACTTCTTTTAGTTTGGCTGCAATAAAAGCAGTTTTTCTATTTGTAAAAATATTTTTTCGGGTCAACATTAGTAGAATTTTTTCCCCCCGATTGGCTACAGATCAGGGGTGGCTTGATGGCTCAGTGGTTTGCACTGTCGCCTCACAGCAAGAAAGTCACTGGTTCGAGTCCCGGCTAGGCCAGTTGGTGTTTCTGTGTGAAGTTTGCATGTTCTCATCGTGTCTGGGTGCTCCAGTTTCCTCCAAAGTCTAAAGACTGAATAACCTTTGGCTGTAGTTTATGAGTGCAAGTGTGAATGTGAGAGTGTGTTTCCTAGTATAAGATTGCGGCATCCGCTGCATAAAACATATGCTGGAATAGTTGGCGGTTCATTCCGCTATGCCGACCTCTAAAATAGAGACTAACCCATAGGAAATTGAATAAATTAATTGCTAAAGATCAGACCACCACAGTGGCTTACTTAACAACCTAATTTGCCTATAGTTAACCTAGTTAAGCCTTTAAATTATACTTTAAACTGATGAATACCATCATGCAATATAATTAGTAAAATATTTTGTACGATAATCATAAAGAAAAAAAATTAGCTTTTAAAAAATGTGTTATAAAAACTATTAGATTTGAAAAAGACTTGACAGATTTTTCTCTCCATTAGACATCCCTTGGGAAATATTTGAAAAATAAAATTAGAATAATTTCTAAATAATAACTGTATCTGAGGAGAAGTAACAGTCACCGTTTCCCAAAAATGGGGCAAATGTAATATTAGCTGTATATCTCTATAAGTGGTGGTCGTGGGAAACGACATCTTAGCGTTGTTTCCCCAAGCTGATACGACTGTCCCTTGTGAAAGAAAGTTAAGGGTTTATGTACAGTATGTGTATACGTATATTTAAGCTACTGTAACATGAGGCCCTGAGGCTGTCTGAGGCTAAAAGTGCTGTTGGAAATCAACAAACCAACGACATTTTCATCACTTTCCCGAAATCATAAAGTACACATATTTCATAATCGAACACCTAATGGATCTGTTTCTTTTTCATTATGTTGCATTAGTGCTAACAAAGCCTGGTCTTTTTTGGAGGGGATATAAAAAAGACAAAATTTTGAAACTATATGGTGAGTCAGATCAAATAGTGTAAATAAAATCACTTGAACACAGGTTATGTTTGAAGTCCAATGTCCAAACCTGAAAGTAGGACACGAATGCATCACTACATCTTCCCATTTGTTTTTAAATGGCTGATTGTGAAGGACGAAGGCTTAAGAGGAAATTACAGCATCATCAGGAGAATTGCTTTATGAGTTTGGGGATCTTGGGATGCTTGTATTTGACCTTAGATGTCATATTTTAATAAAGAAGCACGCAACTAATCGTAATACACTGTATGTTGTTCCTTCCAAACAGGGGTTTCTGAAAGACTGTCCCAGTGGACACTTGAACGTCGAGGAGTTTAAGAAGATCTATGCCAACTTCTTCCCGTATGGTGACGCCTCGAAGTTCGCAGAGCATGTCTTCCGTACATTTGACACCAACAACGACGGCACCATCGATTTCCGGGAGTTCATCATTGCTCTGAGCGTGACGTCACGGGGAAAACTGGAGCAGAAGCTGAAGTGGGCCTTCAGCATGTACGATCTGGATGGCAACGGTTACATCAGCCGCGAGGAAATGCTAGAGATCGTGCAGGTCAGAGGCATTCTAGGACATTATTCGTGTGTTATTTCGTCTTGAGATGTAAGATGCTAACTGCTAAATGCTAACTGTCAAGGATAGTATGCTCGATGATCCTGAACTTTTGGCTATAGCTGATCTGGCATTATGCTGGCTGCTCAACTGTTGTTGCTCTTTGACCAACTGATAATACAATACGGTTATACTCATAATATTTGCCAAAGGGAACAAATTGGTCTTAAAACACAAGGTAACAAGCCTGATTTAGGGATTGTAGAGATTCATTTTAAAGAGCATAAAATGCCATTTGAAATGTAATAAAGTGATAACTTTATTACTAAATATTATTTTTTTTTTACAGATTGTGTAAATAAAAAACTGTATATACGTAAATATTAGAAAAATTGTAGGTAAAGGTAAAAAAATATATTATATGTACATATTTATTATTTTGTTGTTGTTTTTGTAAAGTTATAGCTTTATATTATCATACTATTTTTGCTATTTCATAGTCAAATTTTAGGTTAATGGTATTAAAACCAGCCAGTCTAAACTAAAATTGTATAATAATCCTTAACTGCATAATATGGAAGCCAGAAATGCATTTTTTAAAGTGTGTATGTGACCACAAAACCAGAATTGCATTGTGTAATTAGTCTAAAATACATTTTATGGGTCAAAATTATCAATTTTTCTTTTATTCCAAAATTTATTAGATTCGTAAGTAGAAATCATGTTCATGAAGATATTTTGTAAATTTCCTATTGTTAATATATTAATGCTCGATTTTTAAATAGTAATATTTGCTATAACTAATGGCTAAGGACTTCATTTAGACCAGTGATTCTCAACCATTTCTGTGCATCATTAGAACGATCTTTTATTTTGAAGAAGCGTTTGCATTCTCTCGCTTACATCTCGGTCACTTGGGTGCCCAAATTTAACCCACATGAGGCAAAATTAGTAAGAAACAGACGTCTTTGGAAAATTTATTTGCTAAGGGAAAAAGGCCCAGTGAAGGACCCGCAAACTACAAAGTAAACTACAAAATAGATCCTCAATGCATTTGTCAACAAATCACGCGAATCCACCATGTCTAATCAAGAAGATCAACTGCTGGAGATCGCAAATGACGGCAGCCTTTTAGGGATAGTCCACAAATCAAGTCTTTTCTAGAGTTCACACAAGTTTGTTATGTGTGGCTTGTGCACGCAAGCAGGAAGACGCGCTTGCAACTTCCAGCGCACCGCGAGTCACGTGACGAGAACTTATCAATCACCTGCAGCTGGTATGGAATATACACATTTCAATAGACTAAATATCTCAGACAAACACAGAACACCCAAACACTGTAGTGCTACCCCGGTCCTCTGTGAAATTGTCAAGCGTTGACCGGTCTGTGGTGATAAAAAGGTTGAGGCGGGACATAACGGGACCAAATTAAGACACTTTTAAGTTGCTATCTAAATGAGTGATTCATTGAATGCTTCGCTTCAATAAAATGATTAGTTTTTTTTTTTTTGCTGAGTCTTAAACAGGATTTATGACACTCTGAAGTGCATTTCGGAGTGAAAACTATCAAGAGTGTCGTATTGACATGTCGTTCCAAACTGAAGTGTTCAAAACTGCAAGAAGGCCACTGGTTCAAGCTGAGTCAGTTTTTGTGTGGAGTTTGCATGTTCTCCCCGTGTTTGTGTGGATTTCCTTAGGGTAATCCGGACACACACACACACACACACACACACACACACACACACACACACACGCACACACACACACACACATGCATATATATATATATATATATATATATATATATATATATATATATATATATTTATGGATGGATGGATGGATGGATGGAAAGATAGATAGAACCCTTTAATTGCCAAGTTCACGAAGGATGTCACTGATTTGGTGAAAAAAAACACAAAATGATGTGACATAAAATATAAAAGTTCAATATAAAAGTAATTGTGGTCTGTTTTTTTTTTTCTTTCATCACAGTCTTGTACGTGAAAGATTAGTAACAACATTGGCTTTGATGCATTGTTAGATTTTCATTGTTGACTTCCATTATATCCGCATTTGATGATGCATAAATACAGTCTTTGTTTTTGTTTACTCCATGTAGTTCTGAGAGCTGAGATGCATATTTTGATTTTCTCAGACACAATGTGAGTGCGTAAAGGTCACTCTCACACACTCACAGACACACCAACGCAATCTCATGGCAATTCGTAACTTTTTAATTTAGTGGCTAATTCGTATGAATTCGTACGATCTACTTCAAACATTTTAGTACGATTTGCTCATCACCCAATGACAGTTGGGGTTAGTGGTGAGGTTGGGTGCCACGCCTCCTTTTTAAAATCATACATTTTCATATGACTGAACTCGTATAATATGAATTCGTATACATTAGCCACTGACAAACTGACAAAACGTAAAATACTTACATTTCCTTGTGAGATCAGGCTGGACACATACACAAAAACACGGTAATTTGCTGTTATACTACATATAAAATTCAGAAACTACAGGCCTGTCTAAAGGGTTAACGGTGCCAACTGATGATCAACAGTAAAAATGACAAGTTTGACCTCCTCCTAACAGGGAAAACCCCCAAAAATAAAAAATGTATGACTATATGGTGTCATGGTTTTGCAATCAAAAAAAATGTGGTTTTAATGGAAGTCAATAGGGCAAAAACAGCCACAAACAGTAAATTAGGAAGAATAAAAAATAAAAATTAATCAAAAACAATGCATCAAAGGCAATGCTGTTTCACATGTCCAAGACTTTAAGAAAAGGTAAAAAAAATCCAGTCCACAATTACTTTTTATATTGAAAAAACACATTTTTGTGTGGTTTTTCTCCACCAAATCAGTGATATCATTTATGAATTTGTAATTAAGGAGTTAAAATCCTGTAATTTTCTAAGCAATTTAGTACTTATGATCAGGACTGACGTTGATTAACAGATTTATGCAAATGAAAAGAGAAAAAAAAATATTTATCTGTTGCATTTTTTTTACAGCAGTTTAATTAAGTGGATGTTTTCATCCCTAACATAACAAAAAAGTAGTACATTTGCCCAGGGTGTATTGAGTTTTTTTTTTATCCAAATATGTGTCAAAATAAGATTTGTCATCAAAAATCATTCTACTAGCTGAAACAAAAAAGGTTGTGGCCAAATTAAGACTTAAAATCCCCCCAGAGTGGATGAAAACATCCCCAACAGTACAAAAGGGATCATTCTAAAATGTATCCTTAATAAGCAATACTAGTTTTATGATGACTTGAATTTAGTGTTTAGCATCTCGCAAATCATTGCTCAAAATATTTCTCATGTTTGTTGACTTGTTGAGTGACTTATTGTGTCCTTATTATGTCAGATAAAAGGGAAAAAATGCTTTTATCATTGAAGAAATGAAAGAATCAAAAAAGAAGCAGATGCAATTTTTAATTTATGTTGAGCAGTTCTTCTTGTCCCTCCTATAAGACTAATTAGGAGTGCAGTCATAGCCTTTCATGCTCTTCTTGCTGCAGTGTGCTTTGATGTTTCTCAAACATATTAAAATGTATATACAAAAAGCTATTTTACTGATCATAAACTGACAGATAATGTTCGGGACTGTTTTATTCCAGGGTCAGAAGTTAATGGGGAGTTGTGGCAGAAATCAAGATAAGGGGCAAAAAAACACTCCTACACCATTTAACTTCAATGGCTGAAAATAAATCAATGTCTGTTCGTAGGATTACATTTAGTTCTGTGCGTATTGCATCAGATCGCTAATCAACAATAATAAAACACGATTTGTAGCTGTTTATAATCGTGACAGTAAGCAGCATATCCGTTTACTGTTTGTAAAAGCCACTTACATTTAAATATTTGGTCATAAAACCAAAAGATACAACAATTAAGGTCATTAAAAACAATTTTAAAAATAAAACAATTCAATACATCTATAGAAAACATTGTATAAATGAAAAAGGTTGTATAAAACATATATAGCCTATATATATTTTATATAACCATTAGACTCATTTTTCTAATCCCCATAGTCATGAAAAAATAAAGTAGTGACTGCAGGTTGAAGGAAAGTAGTGGAGTAAAAGTACTGATACTGCACTAAAACATATACTCAAGGAAAAGGAAAAGTACACATTTATAAAACTACTTAGTAAATCACAATTCCTGAGAAAAAGTACTCAAATACGGTAATTTGTGATTTGTTACTTTACTCCTACATTAACCGGCTTAAAGTACCCGGAGAGATCAGTATATAGTCAAAAACCAGGTGTAAATTCAGTTACTCTGACAAAGAGTAATGTTAAAGTCTAACATTATGTAGGAGGCGTCAGGCTAACTTAATACCCATGCTGTTCGTTTTTATGTCAAAATTACTAAGACTTGCACTTGGATAACTTAAACTTGATTTAATAAATACAGAGTTCAGTACTCACCATAACTTTGCTGAAGGAAAAGCCGTCTGAATATAATGTTTTGTCGGATTTCTGCTGTTCCTCCGCTGGAATTTGAATCTACTCCTTCCAAACCAGCGGCTCTCAGTCACATGCATTTTTTGATTCAAGGTTAGTTCACTAAACACAAATATTTAAATTCTGTTTGATAAATTGGCTAAAGCTATTTAAAATGTTTGGTGAATATACATTTGTAATTTTAACTTCAGACCATGAGCTTAAATTCATTCAGTGGATTTTTTTTTGTTTGGGGATAATTAGTGGAAAGTAATTTGTTGAGTCATAATAACATTTTAAAAAAAGTAAATATATACAGTTGAAGTCAGAATTATTGTACCCCCTTTGAATTTTTCAGATTTCCAGATTCAGGAAATTTTCACTGTATGTCTGATAATATTTTTTCTTCTGGAGAAAGTTTTATTTGTTTTATTTCAACTAAAATTAAAGCAGTTTTTATTTTTTTAAACACCATTTTAGGGACAAAATTATTAGCTCTTTTAAGCTAATTTTGTTTTCAGTAGTCAACAGAACAAACCATCATTATACAATTACAACTTGGCTAAAAACTCTAACCTGTCTAGTTAACCTAATTAACCTAGTTAAGCCTTTAAGTGTCACTTGAAGCTGTGTAGAAGTGTCTTGAAAAATATCTAGTCAAATATGATTTACTGTCATCATGGCAAAGATAAAATAAATCAGTTATTAGAGATGAGTTATTACAACTGTTATGTTTAGAAATGGGTAGAAAAAATCATCTCTCTGTTAAGCAGAAATTGTGGAAAAAATAAACAGGGGGGCTAATAAATCAGGGGGGCTAATAATGCTGACTTCAATTGTATGTGTATATACTGTCAAGCCTGAAATTTATCTATATCTATCTATATCTATTTAAGTATCAATCTATAGTTTTGATATTTTGTGTCTATATCAGCCCATTGTCATTCCTTTGTGTATATTCTTGTAATGCAATATAGAGAATCTGGTGTTTTAAACACACGTTATTAGTAGTTTGTCATTAATGAAGTGATAAATAAAACTAAACAAATACTATATAATTCAAAACAAAAATGATAATTTTAGCCAAAAACGTGCCATTTGTCTGTTTATTTCCCCAAAAGCTGTACGTTTCCTCTTAATAGAAAAGTTAACATACTATAAAAAAACTCCTAGTATTTCTTCTATATTTGGTTTGTAAATAAATTCTATGTATGTCTGAGGTCTGACTGATCTTTTATTTAAAAAAGCAAACAATCTTTAATAAATCTTGCATTGCAAATAAATTCATACATTCTTCTTTTAAACCAACAGACATTTGAAAGCACGCATACAGTTTACACAGTCTTAATAATTTGCAGAATTTCTGAGATGTAAAGGCTGACCCCTGCTGGAGAGATCAAGTGCAGACATCAGTGAGCCGTCCCAGATATGAATGCTCTGCACTGGGGAGAACAGAAGCCATTAGCATGTGCTTAGCGTGCTCGGTCGGTACCTTAGGCAGGTTTGGCAGATCTTCATTCTGCACGATAGTCTTGGACTAGCAGAAACGAGGGAGACTCTCTTCTCTGCGGGATTAACGAGTTAAATTTAACCGGGGTTTATCCCTGTGTGTGCAGAACGGCGGGATTATCCGCAAGCTCATGGAGGTTACAGTTGGCTGGCACTCAGAGATTGCAGCGTGTTGCATATTTTATCACAGCGGCTGCTTTTAAAAGGTGGAGGGCTAAGCCGAGAGTAGTCTGCCTGACTGTGAATATCATTATCCCTCAAAAACACTACATAATTGATTGACTTAATCTCTGATTTACTGGATATGAGCCGAAAAAGCATATGAAGTTTGTCTGGTGGAGTTTGAGTTTGCTTTAGGTCACAGTGAAACTCCAGCTTAGAATAAACTGGTGTGTGAGGTATAAATGACAATGAACTGTTAAACACTATTTTTTAGTAATAACAGATGGGAGTTTTCACAGTGTTTGGTTGCGGCTGGAAGAGTATCTGCTGCATAAAACATATACCAGATTAATTGGTGGTTCATTCCGCTGTGGTGATAACTGATAAATCAGGGACTAAGCGGAATGATAGTGAGTGATTTCTAGTCTAACCCGTTTGCGTGCACGTAAAAGGAAGTCAAGGGGGTGAAAAGTCCAGCGTGACCATGGCTTAATACTGTCAAAAAACGGCTGGAACTACTTTAGTTATGCTCTTATCTGAAGACAATGGGGTATATGCCGAAGCATGCTAATAGGACTTTTAATTGCCATTAACCTGGGTTAAGCGCTTCCGGCGAATTGAATGGCAATGCAAAATCTGGTGCGTTTAAGGTCTGTTTTCTTTAAAAATCAGCGATCTCCACTAGCTGAGTGATATCCGATTTAAAGTGGGTCTCAGATTGTACAAGAAGCACTGCATTAAATTACATTTCCCCCGCCATATCTTTATTATATGAGCATATATTTTACTCCAGTATATTCAATGGAGCTTCTGCGTTAGCCTGCCGATTCTGACGGGCACGTGCGAGTAAACGGCTTTTTGTCTCGTTTTACGCTTGAGCAACTAAATAAATGCTAAAGTTTATTTAACTGAATGTATTTTAATGACATTACAACATCGATGCTGTATAAGGAACCATATAAAATGAGAAAAAGTTCACAATAACAGGTCACCGGAAGTGTATCAGCATGGGAACAGCACTAGCTCGGCATATAACCCTTAGAATGCTCTTTAGCCAATCAGAATTAAGCATTCAACATAAAATAGAATATAACCTCATAAAGCTATGAAGGATTGAAAACAGCGGTTTGCTGATACTTTGGGCCATTTGTTTTAACCCAGTTCATTATTTATATCTCTAACAGGCCATTTATAAGATGGTGTCTTCTGTGATGAAAATGCCTGAGGATGAATCCACACCAGAGAAGAGGACAGATAAGATATTCAGACAAATGGACCTGAACAATGATGGTAAGTCTTGGGTATTTGAATTCAACTTGGCCTGGTGTGATTATTAAAAAGCGAGTTGTTTCATTAAATGTATAGTCTATACTCCTACTATACATTAAATGTATTATGTATATTAACTGTATAGTCTACACCAGGGGCCTGTTTCAGAAAGGAGGTTAACTGAATATCAGAGTATTTTAACCCTGAAATGAGAGAAACTCTGGGTTTTCCGTTTCAAAATGGCAGGTTTGTTAAACTCGAGAAAGCAGGGTAAGTCAAGCCTGTTTCTGAAAGAGAGGTAACTTTAACTCAGAGTCAGTTACTGTGGTAACTTACTCTGTGAATCTAACCTGGTCAGAAGCAGGTTTTATTCTCTAAACTCAGAGTTTCTGTCTGTCTCCTCCCCTTTTTTAAAGATGAAGCGGTATTTCTCGCCTTAGCCTTACGTTTCCACCCACCTATTTTTATGCTTATTTTGGAGATGTGCATAAAAACGATTGATAGAAACGTCATGATGCACATAACTTTTTAAAATATGCATAAAAAACGCACATAACTGAGTAGGAGAAACTTTTATTCGATAGAAAATGTGCGCATAAACTACGATGGAAACACTTTTACTAAACAAATTACAGTATGTACATTAAAAAAAGATCATGATCATATGATAATGAAAATGTGTGTAAATGAACAAACCAGCAGGCTGAGCACACTGTAACATGTCTTAAACATTGTTTTAGTCATTCTAAAATGCCTGAACTGTTTCAGTATTAGAGTATATTATTAATTACCTCCGAACGTCTGGTGCGTGTCAAGAGTCTCAGCGTCTGGCTTCAGACGCCCCCACGTGTTCATTGTGTTTCAGTATTGTCTTCTGACATCGAGGCGCAAGTACATTAATTAGGCTAAATAAAGAATTAATTGACGCAGCTTCTTCTACCACAGTAAATGCTGTTTTTACTGTTGATATTTGGTGCCAGTTTAATCAGAAAGTGACAATTTTTTTCTCTTTGACTCGTTGGATGGAATTTTATTCGCATCTTTTATGCAATATTCCAGTTTTGCACATACATTTATGTAATATATTTGGATGGAAACATAGCTATTGCCTACATTTTAGTCACACACAGAAGAACTGTACTAGAATGACTTATCCTTTTTTAATAAATAATTAAATTAAATTCACCTTCGACATGCACTGTAACTAGATTAATGGGATTATTATTCTTTCTAAAAATTATTTTTAGTACTGCTTACCTTCTAAATGTTATATTAACCTCTATCACTTGATCAATAAAAAAGGCAGACACACAAGTGCACTGTTAAATCATTTAAAACTAATAAATGTATAAAAAAAAGTTTAGAAAAAAATATATAAACGTCCCAAATTACATTACTTATTTTATTATACTTAAATATTTAAATACTTAAAAAGTAAAATTAGGCATTAACTTGAGCAGCTGTTTTCCCACGCTAACTGTCTCTTCTTCACTGATGGTTGCATCTTTTCAAATATATACACTCATATTTGCTATAACCAGTGGCGCAACAAGGGGGTATGCAGTATATGCGGCGCATAGGGGCCAAAACTATTTTTAAAATTATCCTTATTAAAAGTTTCAAATAATAAAAATAAATAAATATGTTTTGTTAAAAAAACATTATTAAAACATTATTTTGCATTTTAAACGAATATAATATTGTTATTGTTTAATTCAAAATCATTTAACACAATAACATGCAGTCCCACAGCCGAAAGTGTTCATGTAGATGTAACTGTTTAGATTTGTTTTTATTTTTATCAAAATAAACTGTCAAATCATACATAATGTCAAAAGTTATAAGATTAATCTGAAAATTTGTCTTTATTTATTAGTAATTAATTAATATAAAATAAGAGGGATCACACAAAATTTGAACCCGCATACCCCTCAGTAAATGTGTAGTTGCGCCCCTGGCTATAACTTTGCATGAGAACATCAAGTTCAGCTGGAGAAAGAAATGCTGATCTCTTTTATAAGATATTGCCATAGTCACTCGTAATGTCTGCGCTCCATTGATAATGCCTTTTTAAAGTCACGGTGTGCGCGCTTAACTCTGAGTTGGTCTACTCCAAGTTGATTGACCCAACTCAGATCAGCTATTCTGAAACCGAAAACTCTGAGTTTTTAATCTCTCGGTAAATCAACTCAGAGTTCAAGTTTAAACTCTGAGTTGTTTGAACCTCCTTACTGAAACAGGCCCCAGGGGTTCTCAACTGGTTTGGCCATGGGACCCACATTTTGACATGTTCATCAAGCCGCGACCCAAATATTTAGGAACTATAATAAATTTGGAATTATAAATAAGTTGTATTTATTTGTTAACATACACAAGTAGTGACAAATCATAAGAAAATCACCAAGACTTACAAATAAACTTTATTTTATTGCTGTCATCATGTATCAAATTATAGAAATATTACAAAGTAAAAACGACAGATACTGTAAACTGTGGTTAGGGTAAGGAAATGTTCAGTTACCATGAACCAAACTGAACCGTTAATAAAACATGTTTTCTGGTTTCTAAATGTCGTTTTAATTTAGAAGGTTTCATGCTCTCTTGTGAGAGCACCTCACTAAATATGACACACTGAGGCTTTAAGTCTTTTTTTGTCGTCAATATATGTAAATCCATACTTTACATATTCAGGGTCGTACTTGCGCTTTGACATATTTGTTGCTATAATTAAATAAAATTTCACATGTCAAACGGTAGGGTTGTCGCACACGCATTTCAAAATAAAAGTCAAAATAAGTTAAAAATTCAACTTTTGTTTTTTTTTTGACCACACACTCCACGACCATCTGAAAATGTTCCAATGACCCACTTTTGAGTCGCGACCCACCAGTTGAGAAACACTTTTCTACACACTATACAGCAAATTAAAGCTAATTAAATGTTTTTTTTTTTATCTTTTTTTTTATTGCAGCTATGTATTTAGCTCTTGGGAAAAAGTTTAAACTAAATTGTTTGTGTGGTATTTATTGTGTTATTAAAATCATCATTTAAAACATTTACTTCCAGACAATGTCAAAAGGTTGATCTAAAATATTCCACTTGTAGAACTGTTTTTTTCTGAGGTCTGAAACATGGGATATTATTATATTGACCCATGTACATTTTCTGCAAATATATATATTTTTTAAACACACATAAGTAGTTTAGAAAATAAAACAGATAGTACATTTTGATCAAAACAGATACCAATTAATGGCAAATCCATAGGCCAATAATAACTTTGAAGTGATTTTTTTCAGAGCTGTACAATATAAATGTAATATAACAAAATATACAAAGTAACATGGATGTCACCACTACTTTATTTAGTATGGATACTTTAATCTGGTAAAGTGACAGAAATTATTAATTTTGCAAACCTCTTTTTGTCAATTTAATTGTTCTTTTGCATTTAACCGAGAATCCTGCTGTTACTGTCTTTTGACTGTATTTTAAATGTACATTTGGTGAGTGTATGGGACTCCTTTAAAATTAAAGGTGAGAAATCTTTGCCCAGCTGTTTCACACTTCACACTCCTGAAATACAAATCAATTAAGTTGAATGTTGTCCTGATTTTGTTAGAAATGTCATATTAGTTTGTTATTCAATTTCGCTTTGGGTTTTTATTAGGGTTTATTATAATCAGTGGGTACAGAAAGTACTCAGACCTCTTACATTTCTCACTCTTTGTTAGACTGCAGCCATTTGCTAAAATCATTTAACTTAACTTTTCCCTCATTAATGTACATACAGCACCCCATACTGACAGAAAAACACAGAACTGTTGACAATTCTTGCAGATTTGTAAAAAAAAAAAAAAGTGAAATATCACATGGTTCTAAGTATTCAGACCCTTCAGCTCAGTTTTTTAGTAGAAGAACCCATTTGATCTAATTCAGCCATGAATGTTTTTGAGAGGGGTCTGGATGCAGACCTGGTGCAGTGGAATCTGAGCTGCATCCAATACATTTTAATATGCTCACCGAACCCCACCCCTAACCCTACCTGTCACCATGATGTCACTCACTCCATTGAGTGCATTGTGCCTGACATTGCATCGCTGATTGATGTCATCTCAGCTTGCATCATAAAGGCTGCATCCAGATACTATTGATCCTTTTGGGAAAGATGCAGCAAGTTTTTCACACCTGGATTTGGGGATCCTCTGCCAATTCCTTGGAGATCCTCTTTAGTTCTGTCAGGTTGGATGGTAAATGTTGGTGGACAGCCATTTTTAGGTCTCTCCAGAGATGCTTAAGTGGGTTTAAGTCAGGGCTTTTTCTGGGCCTTTAAAAACAGTCACATAGTTGTTGTGAAGCCACTCCTTCATTATTTTAGCTGTGTGCTTGGGGTCATTGTCTTGTTGGAAGGTAAGCCTTCTGCCCAGTCTGAAGTCCTGTGCACTCTGAAGAAGGTTTTCATCCAGAGTATCCCTGTAATTGGCTGTATTCATCTTACCCTTGATTGCAACCAGTCGCCTTGTCCCTGCAGCTAAAAAACACCCCCACATCATGATGCTGGCAGCAAAAGAAGTTCTCGTGATCTTTTGAGTTCATTCTTCCAAGGTAACTTGGCAAGACCGGCCTCCACCTAAACGCAAGTCCGTTCTCTGTGTTTTTGGAATTGAGAAACAGCCGATGATCAGAAGAAATGGACAGCACCTGCGTTAATTATCTGAGGATGCTTTCACACCTGTGAATCGATTCAGTTGTTCCGAAACAGAGATTACAATTGTTACATTGTTGCTCTTTGCTCTTGGAGCGGTTCGCTTTCACACTGCAAAGTTTCTAAACGGACCAAAAGAGCTAAAACAAGTCACGTGTGAGTAAACTCTCCTTACATTGGTCAGAGTGTCAGGGTTTATTTTGCAGCTTTCCGCTCAGCTGTCAGGAGAGGTGGTGGTTTGGTGGTGATTGACAGGGGGCGCGCGTGACGTGTCTGAGGAGAGACGCGGTGGGGAGGGGTGAGAAGGGTGCGCGACGATGCCTATTTGAGGACTGGGAGAGAGACGCGAGATTACCGGGAGATCATCACTCGTTTGCGGGCATCCGAAGACTCGCGAAACATACTCATAATTCTCTCTTCATGTAGCCGTAAGCCTATTACATATCCATAAAACACTGTGATATAACCGCGATCGGATCGCTTTCTCACTGCAATCGAACCGCTCCAGGGTTTGTTTCAATCGAGCCAAGACCACCTCATTCAAGCGATCTCGGAGCGATTACTTTGGCGCGGAACAGAGCGCGATTGCCCTGTTCACATACAGTATGCCAAACGAACCGCGCTAACTGGCCAAACGAAATACATTCCGAAACAAAAGTGTAGGTGTGAAAGCACCCTGAGTGTCACATGAGTCTGAATACTTGCACCATGTGATATTTCAGTTTTTCTATTTTAATAAATCTGCAAAAATGTCAACAAGTCTGTGTTTTTCTGTCAATATGAGGTACTTTGTGTACATTAATGAGGAAAAAAGGAACTTAATTGTAGTAAATCGTTGCAATATAAGAGAGTGAAAAATTGAAGGGGGTCTAAATACTTTCTGTACCCACTGTATTACAAAAGCATTGTTACCATGAAAACATCCTAAACAGGGTTTTCTTTCAAGTGGAATGTTTGTAATTAATTCAAATGAGTTATTTTAAACCAAATTGTGCAGTGTCCTTGGCATCAGGTCAGGATTTTTCACCTCAACTTCTCTCTCCACCATTTCTGTGTTCCCCTTCTAGGCAAGCTGTCTTTGGAAGAGTTCATAAAAGGTGCCAAAAGTGATCCCTCCATTGTGCGGCTACTGCAGTGTGACCCCAGCAGCGCTTCGCAGTTTTGAGTCGCTCCAGACAACCGGCACTAAATGCATGAAAGCTCTTATATCTCATTCTCCTTTGTGTTCCAGACGGAATAGTTTCAAGAAAAAAAAGTGCAACGATTTTACTTTCAGTTTCTTTTTCCCAGAAAGGACATGCATACATCTGAATAACAAAGACAACACCTGCCAAGACAAGATCTTCTGTCTGCTGCGTGTCATCTGGCCTTGCCTCTGCAGAAGCTGGCGGAGTTTTCGACTCTAAAAAAAAAAAGCTGATCCTGTTCCAGAGTCCAGATTATTTTGGAAAGGAATGTTCCTTTTTAGGAATCGTGCAGTGCATGCGCTCCCGAGCCTCTTGTGTTTCAAATCTGTGCTGTTTTGTTTCTCTTCTCCCTTTGTTTTGTGAGGGCACAGCTCCACTTTTTATATCGATATTTATGTGTATATACAGTATAAATGCATATAGAACCATGTTAGGACTACGAAGGAAGGCAGTTATAGGCGTCTTTTTACTCGCGTGCATCTTACGGCAGTATTATGTAGCTTCAGACAGTATCCAAATCTTAGCCTCCTGCTGACCCGCGATGGACTGATGGACTGAATGTTGGGATTTTTCCGCTCTGGCGCTCATGATCTTTATTTTTTACAAAGAGAAGGCTGAGGACCCCATTCTTGAATTCTGTTCATTTGGTTTGCTGTAAATACATGGTTTGCTTCCATATTTCTTTATTTATTTTGATTTCTTTTTTATGTTTATGGTGTGTATTTTCGTTATTGTTGAACCGAGATGTGAGATAATTCAAAGCTTTTATTTTTATTTTTGGCATACATTCCGCTGTGTTTTGAACGGAGGACACTGGTAGCACATATCATTTGAAGCGCTTCATCTGTGTGTCTGCGGTTATGCGCGTTTGTTTGTATACGCAAGAGTGAAGGTTTGCATGTTCTGGCGTATGTGTGCGTGTCTGTGCTACGTTTATAGTATCACTTTGTGTAGTTCTTTATGATATCTTTGTATGCAAGTACGTTTTTGAAACCCTCGATTTGAAGCAGCAAACTCGTGACTTTATCCTGCGGCAACTTTACCCTGCGTCTTATGGTACTCAAAATCATCACTGTTAGGTTTCCATTAAACAACATAGACAGGAATGTACAACACTATAATTTATGATCATGTTTCACCTTTAGATAAAGTCTATGAATACTGAAAGTGATCACTAAGGGCTTACTTCCACTATTGAATGAACAGGTGTAAAGAGAACGGCACTGCTTATGAGTTTTCTTTTTGTTTTATGCAACGACTGACATTCCATGACCTGAATTCTCCAGGTGCTCCTGCTTTATACAAACACATTAGCTCATGAACTCCATACATGCCCACACTCCCAGTACGCGTGTAGCTCTCACTTTTGCTGGCATCCGTGTTGCTTCCATATTTGTACCGAGACCATATTTGATGCTGCACCCTCTATGGCAACTTTTCCCTCTATTATGTTGCATGAAAACCTCATGCGAGGACATAATGATTGTCCCCTTTTACTGACGTTGATAAAATATACTTCTGTGTTTAGAATGTGTCTGAGAGTGATTCTTGCACAACGCTGATCTGTCTACTTATTGATCAACCTGGTCATGTGAGCACAAAGTGCAAATACTTATTTAGCAGGGTTGTGTGTCCTTCAAAGATGAACGGAGAATTCCTATAAAATTCTTTTAGATCTAATGTATGGAGCCAGATCAGTCTAAAAAATTGTACATTTAAAAAATAATATGCATACATGCAGAGTAAAATTCACATTTACGAAATCCAATTCGTACATCTGTAAACAAACAATTTATGAATTCACAAGTGAAAATCATAAATATTTTAACCAAATTAATTGTATTTGTGAATAGTGTTTTGAATTTCCGAATTGGATTTGTATTTTTGAAACTTTTTTGTTTAAATTTACGAGTTAGATTTGTGTGTTTTTTAATTGCTATTTTTAATTTTATGAATCGGATTTGCATATTAATGAATTGTTTACGAATTGGATTTGCATATTTTTAAATCGTTTTTTCAAATTTACAAATTGGATTTGCATATTTATAAATTGTGTTTTGAATTTACGAATAGGATTTGCATATTTTTGAATTGTGTTTTGAATTTCAAATTGAATGTGTATTTTTTGAAATCATGTTTTGAATTAACAAATTGGATTTGCATATTTTCGAATAACTTTTTGAATTTACGAATTGGATTTGCAAATTTTTTTATATAATTTTTGTTATTTAGCAAATTGGATTTGCGTATTTTTTAAAAAAATTATTTTGCAAATTGGATTTGCATATTTTTGAATAATTTTTTGAATTCACGTCTTGGATTTGCATATTTGTTTTATAGTTTTTTTTTTACTTTACGGGTTGGATTTGCGTGTTTTAATCATTTTTGAATTTAAGAGTTGAATTTGCGTCTTTTTTAAATTTTGGATTGGATTTGTGTATTTTTGAATCGTTGTTTGAAAGTTCAAATTGGATTTGTGTATTTTTAAATTTACGAACTGGATTTGTGTGTTTTTTAGTTGATTTTTAAATGTATGAATTGGATTTGCATGTTTTTAATAATTTTTTTTTGAGTTTACTAATTTTATTTGTGTATTTTTGAATCTTGTTTTGGATTTACGAATTTGATTTATGATCAAAATATTATAAAAATATAAAATATTTTTGATTTATGTTTTTTATTTACGAATTGGATTTGCATATTTTTTAATCATCTTTTGAACTTACAAATTGGATTTTGTAAATGTGAATAGTGTTGCGGATGTTTGAATTTTATTTTGTAAATGTATTTTTTTTGAGGGGCAGCACAGTGGGTAGCACAATCACCTCCACAGCAAGAAGGTCGCTGGTTCGAGCCCCGGGTGGGTCAGTTGGAATTTCTGTGTGGAGTTTGCATGTTCTCCCCGTGTTTGTGTGGGCTTCCTCCGGGTGCAAGTCCAAAGACATGCGGAATAGGTGAATTGCGTAAGCTAAAATTGTTCGTAGTGTATATGTGTGAATGAATGAGTGTATGGATGTTTCCCAGTGATGGGTTGCAGCTGGAAGGGCATATGCTGCGTAAAACATATGCTGGATAAGTGGGCGGTTCATTCCAGTGTGGTGACCTCAGATTAATAAAGGGACTAAGCCAAAAAGAAAATAAATGAATGAAATATTTTTGAGACTGATGTTGCTCCATACTAAAATAACAAACATGATGCAAGATTGCATCATAATTCAAATCCAAGAAAAAATTCTTAAAATTTGTATTTAAAATATTTATTCATAGAAATGTATTCTAAAACCATTTTTTAACAGTGACTGAAATAGATAGTACAACTTACAATGAAGCAAAAACAGTACTAAAAAGTATCTGATAGAAGGAGTATAATTAAAGTATGATCAAAAAAATGTCAAGTTAAGCTATACAACAGTTCTGTGTCTATTTGTTTACCCTTTAGACTGAGAAATTACCAAGAAACTAAGACTAAGAAAATTTACTTAGGAGTTTATTGTGGAAAAAAAAAAGAGTTGATACAAGAAAACAGCCATCTATTACATCACCACGGACTAATTGCAGTTTGAATGTGTTTATTAGTTGAAATTTTCATGGAAAGATTATTTTGGCAAACTGTAACAAATTCCAACCAAACATTCATTTAAATTTTTTCAAAATTACGGTGCACTAGTTTGTTTTCCAAGACTACTCAAAGGTGCCATAGAATGTAAAACATAGGCGTAGCTGAAAAATGTATGAGTCTCAAGCACCATTGTTTCCTTATCCTCATGTAAACAAAGTGAATGTAAAATTCCAGTGAAAAACAGGCCAATCTAAAGAAAACACTGACTGTATGTTACTCACAGGATCATTAATATGCACACCCCCATCAGTGTTTGATTGGCCACGTTTTATTATGACAACTTAAATTTTTTCCCCTTAATTACTAAGATAAACACAGCTTATTCAATTTTCTGCGTATGTTGGACTCTTATTTTGGCTGGTAATACACCTAGAAGTTGTATGCCAACTGACAATAAAACTCATGAGAAGAAGAAAAAGAACACTCTTATTTTGAAAGACTGACAGGCATTAGCTCTGAGGTAAGTCAAAACAGTATTTTATCTGTTTATAGCTCATTAGAATGCAAAATTTGGGGGAAAAGGATTACATCAGCACACAAAGACGCATCAGGTCTGTTTGCATGTATATTTTGGTTAGTTTAATATAGATATTGTGAATATCTGTCTAACTGTATAAGTTTATAATGAGGGAACAGACAGATTTGAAGGCTACGTTTGTAATGAGGAAGCAAACACGTGTAACCTACATTTGTAATGAGGTGACAGACGCATACACTGTTAAATAAGTGTTACATGCACATTTATGCATCAAGACATACCACTCGAGTTTTCCAGAGTAAAAGCACAGCAACAAACTGCATAAAACACGTCTGTTTACATGGACATTGACTATAATTTATGTCTGCCATTTTTCACACTTTAAAATACAACTTTTGCCAGTTAAAAAATACAATTTAGCCTAGATTTCATTCAAAACACATAGAAACATTATGAACAGATATCTCAATTGCTAACATGAACCTCTCCTCCACTTCAGTTGAAGTGTCATTTGACAAGGCATTTCTGATTATTTAAATGTTTTGACAATTAAGTAAGAATATTTGCACGTGTAATTCTGTGTATTTCATTTTGTGTTAGTATTTGAGACATTATACCAAATAAGGTGCTCAAAGTCCTCCTGGTGTGCCTGATAGGTTTAGCTCCAACCCCAATAAAACACACCTGGGCTAACTTATCAAGTCAACATAGGCTCATTTTGAAAACGTAGCCCTATATATGTTTCTGGAGATCGTGAATTATGTAGCCAGAAGTATGTATGACTGCATTTAATTTTTTTAAATGAACGCTACAAAACGGTATGATGTTGTTCCTTTTTGCGCTTACGCGCTGACCGATTACCTCTGTATGGATGACTTTCTGGCTGTTACCAGTTTGTCCAGTTAGCTGACTATTTATGTCGGTGGACTTGAGATGCAGAGAGGCATTGACCACGATGACGGGGTTCGAGTCTGGTGAAGAACGGTTCCAGAAAGCAGGTAAGACAAAAGCAGGCGCCAAAATATAAATTGAACAAGTAAATAACAGGGTGAGATTGTGGTAAAAATCAGTCAAGGGCTTTTCTTTTTCTGAATTGCTTTTTAAATGTGTCGTTTGGGTTTAGGGAAGTGGGTAGGCAGAACAATCTGCTTTTTAAAATACTATTGGTTGGGTTTAAGAAAGGAGGAGTGAAAGCATACAGCAGCCTCTCGTGGATTTGTGAAAACAAAAACTGCAAAAAAAAAAAAAAACTCCCGGGAGGTATTTGACGTTCTTCAGAAATGTATATAGAAGTACGTTTTCAGAATGAGCCTGGGTTGCAACTATAGAAACATCCTTGCAGGTGTGTTGAGGCAAGTTGGAGCTAAAATCTGCAGGACAACCCTGACCATGAGGGTTTCTGGATTTTTATTATTTTTTTTTACTTCTCTAAGCCATACCTTAGATATTATAACACACTAATAATTTAAACACAATGTATCAATGCATTTTTGCCACATTTAACAGCACCATTTAAATTAAAGGTAGGATAATGATTCCAAACTGCAATTTGCATAAATTAAAATGTTTATTAAATTAATGTAAAAAAATAGAAATCTGTGTTAGTTTTAAAAGTCTTGATGTTCGAAAACATGGAAAGACGGGATATTATATATTTTTAAATTATACACTGTAAAACCCAAAAGTTAAGGTAACTCAAAGCAGTTAAGGAAGCCGATTGCAACAAACCATTTAAGTTCAAAAACTAATTCTGACGATTACTGTGAACCTAATCTATTTGAGTAAACGAAGCAATTTGAGCACAGTAATACCCAATAAATGAAGAGAACTCAAAGCAACGGAGTACTGTAAAACCCAATAAGTTAAGGCAACTCAAACCTTTTGAGTAAACTGATTGCTACAAACCATTTAAGTTCAAAAACTACAAGTACTATGAACTTACTCCATTTAAGTTAAATAAGGTATTTAGGTAACTCATTCAAAACTTTTTTTTTCAAGTGAGTAGAATTAATTTTGAGTTTAATACACAGATTTAATTTAATAAAGTTAATTCTTACAGTGTATATTATAAATATGATATAATTAGGGTGTTTTTTTATGATATTATACTTTAATATTGTTGTCAGAAACTTAAAAAAATCAAATTATGTGTAGGATATAACTTTTTGGTTTGGACTTTAAACCCTATGTATAGCTACCTTTACAAAACCCACAATCTTTCTTAAAGCATAAGCTACGTTTTTACTTAGGCTTATTATTAACACACACACACGCTATGACAATCTATAAATCTGTTTGAAAAATGACCTGCATTTCCCTCAAAAAGACCAGTCACAGACCGGTTCATATTCAGATCCAAATACTGGACCGCTGCAGCGTCGCCCGGTTGAACGGGGATGCGGCAGGGTGTTGGCGGCACTGGCCGGATGCGGCTGAGCGGTGAGGTCCAGAGATTGGGTGTGGTTTGTGCCGCTCTTGAGATCTGCCGGACCACCTCTGTTCATCCTCTCCGTGACATCGATGTGAAAGGGGGCCGAAACAGGGCTCGGCTGCTCTTGGTGGCTTCATCTGAAATAAGAATAATAAACACACACAGGCAGACAATTACCACTTTACAGTTGGCTGACTGCAGTATGAGTCACCGAACACACCCTCTTTCTCGCCCGCATGCAGGGACCGTGAGTTAAGCATTAATAATCCTCTATTAAGGACTGCGTGAGTTCTCAGATTTACAACTGAAAACTCACAGAATGAGTCCACTTACGCCAAAGCGCTGATTATTTTTAATAGCACACATTTGAGTCCTCTTGAATATCAGGGTGCTGAGTGGACACCTGCACATACCAATTTTCTGTCCTCTTGGCAGCAGGGCAGACCGAGAGAGGAGATGCAGAGCGTAAATAAGCGGCCCGAGAACAGCATCTCCACCGCACTCAGCAGAATCAGCGGGGCCCACAGGACTATCGTGGTGCTCTGAGGAAGACAAACAGATATACAGGGGAGACAGTGACCTTTTAACTGTTTTTACTCTCTTGAATAACTTTTCAAACACGTCCGTGCTGTATTTAACTCTTTATTATACATTTTTATAAATAGAAGTTTGGAATGAGCAATTACAAACAACATTGGTCATTCATTCCAAACTTCTATATATTTAAAAAAAGCATAATAAATAGTTGACCAAGCTCTAAAGCTCACCAAGGCTGAATTTATCACACAAATTATCCAACAAAAAACATAATCTTTATTTCCGTTCTCTTTTTCTTGGTTGCTCAACTTTTTAAAACATCAGCTGCGCTGACCTAAAATTATTTGTCAGTAATACAAAAAAAACATTTAGTTGGGTTATAACATTGTTAGTTTTCTGGAGAGGTATAATCTACACAAAACTTTTTAAGTTGTGCCAACTAAACATTTTTTGTCTGCAGAACCGGAATGCCTGAAGTTGAGTGAACAATAAAAACAAAATCCTTTTTTCTTTTCTTCTCTTCACCTTTAGCTGATACAGTAGAGAGTGCAGACAGGAAAGCAAGGACTTTGAGGTGGGAATTAAAGTTGGGTCGCAGTGAACATTAGAGTGCCATGTGTACTACACCATTGCCACCAATGTGTACTCAAACTTTTTTAAAACATCAGTTGTACTGACCTACATGTCTGAAGTTGATTTAACAAAAAAAACTCTTTTAGAAATTGGTACTAAGAAATAAAACATCAGAACAAACAAACATAGTTCAATTGAGAAAACAGGAAGGCATGCTTCATTTGTGAAGCATTGCAAAGCATTTTTCCCTTGTCCTGCCATGTTTTGATCCTTGTCTTGTTTACCATTATTGTTGTTTTGCCTCCTATCCTGTTTCTAATTCTGTGTCTAATAAATGTCTTGTTAACATTTGTTTACAAATTAGTTTTTGTTTTCAATTGAACTCAAACCAGAGTACTGTAAAACCCAATAAGTTAAGGCAACTCAAACTGTTTTGCTACAAACTGTTTTGCGAGGAAATTGATTGCTACAAACCATTAGAGTTAAAAAAAACTAATCTTGAGTACTGTGAACTTACTCCATTTAAGTTGAAGTAATGAGGTATTTAATTAACACATTACCTTCAACGCTGAGTTTAAAACTCTTTTCAAATGAGTAGAATTAACTTTCAGTACACTCAATTCGGTTGATAAAGTTGACTGTTGGGTTTTACCGTGTATTACCAATTTCCAAAATAGTTTTTTTTTTTCACTCAACTTCAGACATTTTATGTCAGTGCAACTGATGTTTTCAAAAGTTGAGTACACGTCAGTGCCAATGGTGTAGTGGTTAGTTCTTCAACACATGGCACTCCGGTGTTCATGGTGACCTGAGTTCAATTCTTGCCTCAAGATCCTATGCTGAGCCTCCCCCACTCTCCTCACCCCACACTTTCCTGTCAACTCTTTACTGTCCAATCAGCTAAAGGAGATAAAGTACATGAGAAGAAAAAAATAAGGATTTTTGTTGTTGTACTGATTTAAAAGTTTTGCTACTTCAGGATTGTATTCATAATTCATTATAATATGCTGATTGAGACTATAATTACAATCAAATATTAATGTTTTTTTCTCATTATCAAGTTTTTACAGTTAAATATTTTAGTACACTGGAAAACCCGACAGTCAACTTTATCAAATGAAATGAGTGCAGTTAACTCAAAATTTACTGAAGGTTAATTCATTTAACTCAGTGTTGAATTTTGAACTCAGTGTTGAAGGAAATTAGTTAATTAAATACCTCATTACTTCAACTTAAAAGGAGTAAGTGCACAATACTCATATACATTTTTTTTTTCCTCAAATGGTTTGAGTTGCCTTAGCTTTTTGAATTTTACAGTACTCATTTGGTTTGAGTTTTTTTTAGAACTCCTCAAAGAAAAAAGTGAATTTGTAACACTGCAAATGTCTCTAACATAAACCGAATGAAATTACCATCTTAGTTGAACTTTTAGATTTTGTTTTCAGATAAAATAATGTTTTTTTTTATTTAATATGAAATAAAATAATGACATCAAATATAAATACTAGATACAGCACTGTGCAAATTAAAAGTTTAACTCTAGCAGTGCAGTGGAAATAGGGTTGTTTACGCTGTCATAATTAGTTGTTTCCACTAATAAAAATGTCCATAGTGGGGTTACTCAGATAGAACGAGTAGTTTTTTGGCTGATCATGTGATCTCACCCCCATTAATCAACTAATATGAATGCAAGGCTAAATCACAACACTGTTAATTTCTCCGTGTAAAACTTTTTTAATGAGCAAGAAATTACTGGGCACACTTTTAATGAGTAGAGCTTGCCAGTGTGTACAAAAATGATCTGATCCAACATGCTTTTTTTCTAGTCTAAAAATAGGGATCATGACAGAAGAAAAGGTTATTTCAGCTGCGCACATTTGTGTTTTTTAAGATAATGAGCACAATCTGACGAAATCTCACAGAAGAATATTACATCAGAAGAGCTCTAGTTTAATTCTTATAGCAATACATTTCCGAGCCATTATTAAAGTTTATATTCAAACTTTCATGTGTAGTCTCCCAGTTTATAATCAAACAAACGATTCGCTTAAGCGGGGGTCGTCAATCTTCTTCAAACCCAGACGTGCACAGAGAGTGTATTTCACAGTAAATTGTGCAAAATGAGTGCTGCATTTTAAATCTTGCCTATAAAAAAAATTATAATTCTATAATCAAAATCAAACTTTCTTACACCGAACCAACTGTCAACTAAACCCAGGCATCTTCAGTCTTTTTAGGCCACAGAGAGTATTGTTTCATACAATAAATTGTATAAAAATGAGTTTAAGTTTCTGGTTCATGTGGACTTTAAAAAAAAAAAAAAAAAACAGTGGGCGTGGCTTGTGTTTTTCTACTGTGAGCTGATTGGATGCAGTAATACAGGCATTTCATTTGGAAAAATTTTTTCGGGAGAGTTCTTAAAACCAAATGCTGAGTTCAGACTACACGATTTTTAAAGTAGTTGTGTCACAGATGTTTCCACGCATGACTATCTGAGGTAGCATTCCATTGCTGCTGTTTACACTACAGGATGGATCAGCGAAGATGCTTTCATACTGCATGACTTTACAATAACAAGAATCGCTGACAACTTTGTTTTTACTACGTCTTACAACTAAACACACTTGAGAAGTGTCATAAACAATGCAAGGCCACGTAGTATATTATTATAACTACATAATGAGAAAGAAGCTTTTAATGGGGTAGAAAATGTATTTATTTTGCTCACTTGGGTTTTGAAGGAAATTAGCAATATCGCTTCAACTTTTTTCTTTTTTTGACCTGGTTGTGGTACCTATATGACACGTCAAACAGACACGGGAGCTCCTGCCAAGTTTCCTCTACTTTTTCCTCCAGTTTTTTTGGGTCCAATAAACTGAAAAGAAGCCCTTTAGATACCCACAATAGTGGATGCTGCTCCCTCATTGGCTGTAGGTTATCGCCGATGTTATTTTCAATCCAGGCTCACTCTAAAAACGTACCCCTATAAACATTTCTGGAGATCGCAAATATGTCCCAGGAGCTACGTTTTTTGCTGTTTTTGTTTTTGCCATTTGTGCCAGCTCTTCTCGCATAAATCCACCAGAGGCCGCTGTCGACTGACCGACTGACAGACCAACGGACCGATAACACCACCACCTCCTTCCCTAAACCCAACCGATGTTTTAAAAAGCACCAGTTGGCCTAACTTCCCTAAACTGGCCGTGTTTTGAAAAGCAGTCCAGAAAAAGAAAAGCCCCCTGATTTTTACCACCTTTTCAGATTTTACCACATTCTCATCCTATTATTCACTTTTCTTTATTTTTTGGCTTTTGTTTTTTTCCTACCTGCTTTCTGGAGCTGTTCTTCATTAACTCGGTCAACTCCCAGTGGCGTAGCGCAAAATGCAGAGCCCCCCCCTGCAGGGATCACTGGCGGGGGCCCCAGATGGGGGGGGGGGGGGGTGGCAGGGGGGGAAGAGATCACATGTTGAGGAGCGGGGGAGGGAGGCGGGGTGGAGTGACATTGCGGGGAAGCCTTCACAAACTGAGGAGCGATCACAAACTGAGAAGTGGGAAAGGGGGTAGGGTGGAGCGACAACGCGGGGAAGCCTGTGTGTCTTCTCCTGTGTGGGTGTCGAGGAGAGTTGAAATCCAGTCAATTTTATGGTATGAGCTATGACGTGGTTCGGCGGCAAGCAATCAGAATGAAGAGTTCAAAGAACACAGACCTGTGAACTTTGGTTCCGACCACAGTTGTTCCCAAGAGTTTGATTATTGCTGTTGCCGGATTTTCAAATATTGAAAATCGCAACGACATGGGGCCCCGGCCTAATCACGTGGGGCCCCCCCACGGTGCATGCCCTGCGGGCCCGTCCGCTACGCCACTGTCAACTCCTTTCTTTATCTAAGTGGCAAGCCACTTGACAAACAGCAGGAAAACCGTCCATATGGAGATTAATGCTTAGCTGGTAAACACAAAAAGGAATGACATCATACCGCTCCCCCTAGCGTTTGTATTAAAGACAAAATGCAGCCATACGTAGCTCTAGCTACATAATTCGTGATCTCCAAAAATGTATAGAGCAATGTTTTTGGAATAAGCACATTTCACACAGCATTATTTTGAATCGCTGACAGCTCCAGATATTTAACCTGTCAATTATCTGACGGGTGTCGGTGACTCATTAACGATTCTCTCAGATTGCGTCTTTGATAGTTCACACTGTGTGATTGTTACTCATGTAAATGAACACCGATTTGTCTGTGATTTCTCAAAACCTGTTGGCGAGTCAAAATCGCAACTAAAATGGAGTCTGAGCATGGTATAACAGTCACCCACTCCTCATCATTTCTTTTTGTTGTCATGGCACTGTCAAAACTGACAGTTGGAGGGGCTGGTTAAGTATGTCGGACAGACATAAACTGAGAATTCAACTGAAAACAAACAGGACGTGCATTTTCAGATTTTAATGAAAGATTAAAGGGCAAACTTTTTTTTCTTAATGACATGCACAGATAAATTGTCCACTGTTAGACTAACAATATGAGCTAACAAAATCAATATGGTTAGTTTTGATGTCATGTGTACTTTAAGTCTCGCCTTTAAGGTTCTAT